GTCGGTACCATTGACCCCATGCCTGTTTGTTCTCCCCCGTGAAATTCTCAAAGTTAGTCAAAAGTAGGAATTCTCTCTCCATCTTACGTTGCTGTACTAAGGCCAATTAAAATAAATTAGATTGAAATTTACTTTAGGGGTGATGCAAGCCAATGAATGCGCGTCCGCTTGTTTCCGAACAGTCCTACCGACCGCGCCAGTTGTTCGGACGCGCATCCACCGGCAAACACCTCGGTTCAGCTAATCAATATATTTACAATGATCGTACGGTACACGCCAGCGCAATCCGCAGTCACCCCCGATTATCCCATTGGACCTCTTGTCAGCTTTCCCTCCTCGCTGCCGCCCCGGAGCTCCGACCGCCGAGCGCACCGCTCAGCGTCTGACTGCTGCCGGCGATGCACCGCCTTATATAGGGGGGCTGGGCGCCCACCGACCAATCAGCGGCCGCCGCAGCCGCCGCGTCATCACCGGCAGAGCTGCAGGATTCGCGGCCGGCGCCCGCCGCCGACTGCCGGCCGGGCGGCCGTGTGTCGCTCCCCAACATAAGCAATATTGGTGACAGATGACGGCGAAGAAGAGGACTTTGGTGCAACATGTGTCGTGTTTCTGACATGCGACTTTGTATCATTGATTTAATCCGAGAGTCGCTGGGTTTTTGGTCCAATAAGCTGTCGATTAGATCGCCAGGGGCGGGTGATTGAGAAGTTCAGTCCAACATCAGTGCAGCAATGGAAAAATCAAACTGTTTTGAAACAGTGCACTGTGTTCAGCGAAACATAAGCCAGGAAAGCTATGGTATTCTCCATTTCTCCTAGTTTGGTGGCTTTATCCTGCATAGCTGCTGATACAGTCCATCGATGTTTTGCCGACTGTTCTATTTTTAATATTTCATATTTGTCGAAGGCTGATGGTGTCGGGAAGGCGTTCTCCTATCATCAGTGCCTCCGCTTTACGGGGATGGCTGTAACTGGCGTCTTTTGCTGCATCGATTGTGTATCGGTGGGTACCGATACCCAATACCAATTTCTCTACCTGCTGCCGGCGAATTTTGAGCTCTCATATCATGGTTGCTTTGTCCGCTGGTGATCGGAGTCAATTGTTATCACTCGATGTTGGAGACACATGCCGAAGTCTAGCGTCGCCATGGTGTGTCGAAATGGCGTTCACTGTTTACAGTGGCTTACGGTACATTGTGGTGCAAACGTTCTACCATCAGTTTTCAAGCCTTGACGTCCAGGAATGTGAGAATCCAGACTCTCATTCCAATCAGAACTGGATGGCAGGTTCAAGGCTGTTCGTATGAGCCAGTGTTGGCATGGTTGTACCCGGCTCATGAAACTCATCCGGTTTTTGAATGTGTCGTCTACACACCACATTCATTGGTTGTTTCAGTGGTACATATTACATATGCCAAGCCATGTCTCCCTTCCTCTCCATAAGTATCTGTCTCCCTCTCTTTCCCTCTTGAATTTATATTTGTGGAAGATACTGATGCTGATCATCGGCGGCGATACTGAACTCTTTTTCATGCCCCGCCCTTTTGCTGTTAGGTATTGCGAAGCTGGAAGTCCGTAAAATGTTTGCAGAATGTCATCGGCTTCATGACATGTTCGATTGATAATACCGCTTCTACTAGTCTACCATCCCTCCAGTTGGACCACATTTCTCATCTTAGGTCTGCCTTCCGGTTATCACCAGGTGACGTGCTAAGTATCGATCGGTCCAAACGACGTGCGAAGTCCGGAAAATTGACGTCAATGAGAATCACATTGGCCGTCACAAAATCTTTGTTGACTTCCTGCGTTCTTCCAAGGGTGGTGGTTTCCTTTGTTCCGCTTCGGGGTGGGTGGGTGAATAGTCACATCTTCGATGCTTGGCCTTCGGTCATTTAACGGATTTCGATGGCGCTCGAAAATTTATTTTTGTTACAAAAGTTTTGGGTCATTTACTGTTATGCTCAGCCCAAAGGATAACTTCGGCGAGTTGGACGAAGCTTGCCTGGCTTTGATGGGTTCGCTAAATTTTGGTATCCGAATGCTCCTGGTAAATGGAAATCGACCGTTTGGATAGTTGCGGTCTAGGCTGCGTAACGATCTTGGCTTAGCTGGTCCTGTCAGTTCGGCTATTAAATATTCGAGCTAAATTTACAAGGAAAGGGTCTTGCATGTCGTAAAAAGGCTGAATAAGAAACGTGTGATCATTTCCTTTTAGTTGATGCGTAAATGCAGGGTCAGAATTTGCCGGAGGTCATCAGCCTGATATTTTTAATGGGGTAACTGTTCAAAAACAGCATATTACCTTTATGACGTCGCTCCACCGCAAAAGCGTGGCGTGAAAGAAACCTGAATATTAATCTTGTATTTCCCCACTTGGGGGTTCTGTCTCTTGACCAGTGCGTGGCGCAGAGTTTGAGACAAGTATGAAGTGGGCATATTGTTTCGTTAAAAATTGGGTTAGAGCTTTTCTTTTTTTTGCGTCTGGGATTCCAAAGACCAAAAGCAACGGACCTTATCATGGATCTAATGTAAATTATTGCTTTTTGAATTATTTTATGTTTAGTTTGTCATTTTAAGAACATCGGTTAGCATTGAATTTCGCTAATCTTTCCTCCGGTTGACCCTGCAAAGTATGCGCGGAATTGGTTGAAATACGTATCCGTTTGCTGTGTAAAATCGATATCACCCTGGGAGGTTAATACATGAATTCAGATGAGATGTTTTCGTTCTATTTGTTGCTTAAACTCGCTTTAACTTAGCATGTAGTTAGGCACCCACAAGGCAATGCATTCCCATATGTTACGGTTAGGGTGCTACTGCACGTGCGCACTTTTCCAGATCTCGGGAACGGCTGTGACGATTGCGCGCAAATTTGGTATGCGGTTAGAGACCGGTTGGTAGGGTGCCGTGCAAAAGTCACTTTTGGACCCAGTTTGCACGTGTGCACGTTGAGGGTGCCACTTCCAGATCTCTGGAATGACTGGGCCAATTGCCTCCAAATTTGGCACACCTCTAGTGACAAGTTCGTTAGGGTGCAGTGCACAAGCCAGTTGGAAACACCTTCTCGCCCTTTCTTGCAGGGCTCTCTCGCTCGCTCGTTCTTCGTCCAAAAGGCGTTTTGCTGGTCATAAACATGTCACGGCTATACACAATGATGAAGGCTTGACATTTAATTTTTTTAATGGTAAAACGTAAAAACTAAAAACATATTCGACCTAGAGGAACCGGAGAAAGATCAGCGAATTTATATAGAGGGGTGGAATCAGTTCGTTTTAGTATAACGTTGCGCTGTGTTTTCCCAATGGCCAGGTCTTTTTAATGATAACGTTTCTCTCCACGGGGCACCAGCTTTTGGGCATTACTGTGTTCTATTATTCATGCATGCTACAACCTTTAGCATCCTTTGTTAGTCTTGAGGTTATACAAGATGCTAAGACAATCACCATTGGTCATGAATTACATTTTAATTCCAAGGATTTTCCTTGTTACAGTTGTCGAATCAAGTGGCAGTATTATCATGTGTATGCTATTAATCTTGTTTGTTAAGCATAGCTGATCTTGGCGCTGATTTTGGCTCCTTTTCATCCTTTTCGTCCTTGAACAGGCTGTCAAAGCAGCCTTTCTTCCGTTCACTCAATCGGAAGGTTATTGTTGGTGTGGAGCAACGCGCGTATCAACGCGATTTGACATGCTGTCAACCAGTTCAAAAATAAATAAATCTTACTTTCTCGTCGCTAGGCGCAATGCGTTCTTTTTTCTGTTCTAAAAGACGCATTTTCATGAAGACCGGTGTCGCGTGCTCCTTACACCATCGGCGTTACGTGGCAATGCTCACGTAAGTAATTTGTCGTTGGAAAACGGTTATCTCATGTAGGTATTGGTTCTAACTTTGTTTTAATTCTGGAAGTGTTTTACGTTACGTTATCGAGACAGCTAACAAATACAGACAAGGATACAGTGTGTATTCGGTATGTTGTATCATGCTAGAAAAAATGCATGCGATTTTTTCTCGGCGCGCCAGTTGTTAGAAAAAAAATGTAGAGATCAAGTACTTCCTGCGTAGGACAGGAACCATTTGGTACTTGCTTAATTTTGCGTATTCGCATTATCATAACATCAACAACGTGATTGCGTGGTGCGTGGTTTTAACATCGTATGGATTGTTTTACGTTGATATATCTGATAGTTCTAAATTACGCTAGGTGTCTTTTGCACCGAAAAGTTCATTATCTGTCAAATGTATCGTCCCTGCAACTCATCGTTAATCTAACGCTTCGTTTTTCCATCCATGTAGTTACAAGTGAGTCGATATGTGTCAAGCGGCGGGCGCCCTTACACGTTCTTATGAGAGAAAAAATCACCGATTGATGAAATTAAATGTTAATTTATTAAATTTGTTTTACTTGAAATTGATGTATTTTAACCTGTAAGGGACGTTATTGAGTACGGTTCGATTCGCTAAAATAGTGCGAAAAAGGATTCTCGCTTTGCGTGACACAGTGTTTATTAGAAGAACTTGAGAGTCTTTGAATATGCAGATCTGTATACAAATCCATTCAAATCAAAGCGCACCATTCGATATTGTTGCTGTGTCGATGACATCTGAGGTCCGGGCGCCCTGAAATCACAAATCATTATCATTCGTATTTTTTGGTGTTGATAGGCTATGTGGTATACGAAGTAGACGATATGGCTTGGGGGAAGTTTTTTTATTGATGTCAAGGAAAAGGTCCGTTTCCCCATTATCATATCCCCATATCATATCCACTGAATCTTCCCAGCCCATCGCATGCAACCAGCATCAGCTATGTTTAACTCATTGATCTTATCACTCTAGCTCAAACTCGAATATAGACTGCAATCTATTTGCTAGCTTCTGATTGTGTTGTCGGCCGCGTATGTACTGTTCCACCATGTTGCGTCGTGCTGTACACTGTCTGGCCCGGGCCTGGCTGGGCCGGGCAGACAGTTAATCCCATGCCTACCTGTACGCTGCAATAGGTGTTGTATAAGGTCAGCGCGCGCGCCAAGTTCGGCTGGATCGTCCGAGGTCAATGACCTGACCTGACCTGAGCTTACCGCGCCGAGGTCACACCAGCCGCCCGGTTCGGCGGGCAGTAGGTACAGTGGCGGCCACACCTTCGGTTGTTTCTGTTGCTCAATGGTTACGCGTAAGTCGCACCCGGCGCTCGCACGCTGGGCTCATGTATGCCCTCGAGGCATCTGCGTTGTGCTCGTCTGTAACATAGTTTGGGAATATGCTCAGTATGCCCATATTGGCTAGACTTGGGGAATAATGCCAGTTTGTTGTAAGAGGCCTCTCTTCTGTTTTCTCCGTAGATACCCACCCTGCGTAAAGATAAGCTCCTTATAAATTTGGCATTCGGTTGCTTCACGAAATTGAAAGGTCAGACCGTAAATTGCTAGGCAGATATGCAATGCATTGGCATCAATGATCAGGCATGTACTTCCTATAGTATCGGCATTTGCCATCAGTCGTCACGCCCAGCTTTTGAAGCGTAATTGCTGGCATGAACGCAAAACTGCGTGATGGGTAGGTCAGGATATGTACTTGGGTAGTACTGTCGTGCGTCATGAGCGATATTGCGCAAGCATGTAATGTGCCGGAATGTCTGTTCGCGCGCTTCTTCTAGCGTCGACGTCATTTGTTTTGTAAGATGTATTACGGACACAGCTGTCGGTAAAATCGCACTCGCTCTCGTAAACAGAATTGTTCTGATAGGTCTCTGCCTTGGCCCAAACATCGGGCAATGCATTGTTCGTTATTGCGCTGTGTACATAGTATGTGTAGAACTGCGCTCCATCTTGAGAACTTCACGTTTCAAGGCGCCTCACTGCAATGTTCCAAGATCGGACACGTCGACCGAATCCGAAGTGTGATTGTTGATTGGACAATATGAGGAAAGAAATGCCGCTGAATGCCCTCAAAGGTCAAAGTTTTAAGTTAACTGTTCAGCCGAATTGGTCATCCGTTACTATACATATGTGCCCAAAAGACTGTGGTTGAAGAGATCCGATGAGGGGCTTGAAGCTTATTTTGGAAAAAAATCATGTCAATGCGATAACTGCAGTCATCAATAGGCTGGTGCATTATCAAGTCCACCCTAGATCGGCTTCCTGATTGTTTGCACATTAGTGAAACAATTTCTGCGTTCACTCAGAACACGTGAAAATAGCGAAGCGCAAGAAAAGTGGCTAAAAGCATTCCTAGCCCGAATGATTATTGCCAAACATGATTGCAAATCATTCCAATCAAGAAAGGGAAGAATGAAGACAAATGATGCGTGCTTGACGACGAGAGTGACATGTCGATGGGTCTGAAGCACTCGGCAGTGTTTTGAAGAAGGTATCGTTTGATATGAAAGAAGCCCATTTACGGAACTCGGTGGAATTCCAAATTAAAACGAACTGCACTGAAACGAAATAACCACTTGCTTCTGGCCTTGCAAGTACATAAGCCCAGTTGATCATTCTGCCGGAGAACCCATCAATAGATCGCAAGTGCGGCCAGCACCACTTTTGCCCTCAATGACGTCATAGTTTCTGCGGGTTCAAGCTCAAAATTTCATCGCCAGTTCCGTCATTGTGTTTTGTGAGCATCGTGTATTGCCTTTGTGTGCGTTATTTACGGCAGGTCGAGAATAGTTGCGGCATATTGTACCTCTTATTATCACCCACTAACGAAGCAAATACTACAGAAGTCGTCAAAAAGTTACCAAAAATTTCTGATAAATCGTCACGTTTGACCTTTGATCTGACTTAAGTGCTCAGTAGGTGTTTTAAGCAATACATACCTATAATCTTCTTTGATAGAAAATTGTACATCAAATTGATTTAGCTACCCAATCGCTTTTTATTTAAAAGGAACTATTGTCTGTTTGAAACGGTTGTTGGTTATGTGATTACATGTTCGTTTTTACACATTGCACAAGACGAACAATTTGGCAATTTGTTCTTTGCATAAACTTATGATCGAAATCTGATCAAATTAAAAATTATCGATGTCAAAAAGGTTAGCATAGCTTTTATCTGGTAGTGTATGTTACCCAAATACTTTTTTTTGACTATGTCTATAGAGTTTTCAGACTTTTGCAGATGCTGTTTAGAACTATTCTCTCAAACTTCGAAACCAAAGGCTAATACACACCCATATAGCGTCGTGCGTGTTTCAGCTGAAACATCTTGTTGGTTGTGTGGTTCCTTGGATGCTTTTCATGCCGTTATTTGATACAAAATAGAGAAACGTTTTTGGGCTGCATGAAAGACATTTGGTTTTTAGACTGAGTCAAGATTACAATAGCAAAATTCTGAAATATTTTACGTCTGCTGGGAGCTGGTATAGGCAAAATCTCGGGACATTACATTGGTAATGATGCGGAATATGTGTAACTGTTATATACGTAACTTGCATTTGCAGCGAACTTCCAATGCCGCAGCTATTCTTGAACATATATAAATTTGTCGATTTGGGATGAACCGTATCGTGCAGTGCAGATTTGAAGGCGTGTTGGTCTTGTAATAGTTACTTTCTCGTTTAAGAGTTTTTCTTGTTATTCATGTCAAGAATGCTGCACATGTTAAATGTTATATAGATAGATGTTGCTGTTCACTCATTTTTCTAGCTCAGTTATTCTCTTTTCATTCCATTACATGTGCCGCATTCTTGCTCACGTGACTCGTATGTCCTAACCACGACATTTCCAGGTTTGCAATGGTCGGTACCCTCTCAGACCATTGTCGGCTCTCAGGCAGATAATGAGATGTCGATGAAACAATCGTCAGCAAAGTAGCGACTGTTTGCATCACTTTGGTTCAGCACTCTCCATGTGAGAGATTTGCAGATGGCCTTGCAGATTCTTCCTAATTAGCTGACTTCTACGAATTTGAAAAAAATGTCCCGTTCTGGTTATCCTGTCTCGTTGTTTCAAGCTATCAAAATTTATAAGATTTATTTAGTAAAAAAGACGATATGTTCCTTTAAATTTCATGCCTATGGTATTTATACTGGGCGTTATGTATTCAAGTCTCAAGTGGACCATTTTTCGGAATAACAGGCTTTGCAAGTTCGCTGTGTGACCTTTCCACCAATAATCTTTACTGTGCTTGTCCCTTGCTATTTTTCTTTGACTTTTTCATGATTTTCCTTTCTATTTAATTATGAAACAAAAGTAAATTTTAGCCTAACGTTGGTTTCATCGGTCAAACGCATTATATGCATCTTCTCCCCTAAACGGGTACTTTTACCTATTGCACTGATCACTAAGACAATCGGCTGCATTAAGTGAAATTCCATAACATTATTAATGTTAAGAAACGAACTTTTTTTAGGGACATTGCCACTTTTTTAACAAAATTTGATGTTTTACAGAGTATACCTTCTTGTAAAAGAAAGGAATCTATGTACATATATGCTCAGATATATCAGTGAACTAAGTTACTTTTGTACGCAATATTTTTTTCGGGATACCGTCGCTCTATCGCCCATTTCAAATTTTCAGGCAGTCAAAACCTCAAATGAAAGGTTGAACAGTATGAACTTTAGGACTTGGATGACATTCCATTCAAGCTATTTCGGTTTATTGACCAGGAAATGAGTTGACGCCTTTGAACAAAAGATATGTCTATAGCAGCCTATGTTAGAGTGACGCACGGAATTACGTTTTCAAATGTGAATTGAATGGTCTAAATTCTCCCTTCATTGTTACCTGCAGGCTTCTCAAAACAACCATTTTGCAAGAGCCATTCTAAAATGTTCAATTACAGCTTCGGTATGTTCCGAATGTGTCGCTGCTTTGCTTACGTTATGTTTCACGGACGTAGGGTACCGACAAACTTCGCCTTGATGTTGTGCTCTGACATGTTTTACAGGTCTTTTGCTCTAGCCTTGCAACGATGAATGAATATCAAAATGCAATAGAAGATATTTGTATTCAATTTGAATAATCTCTCGGAAAAGAGCGTTATTTTAATTGTCCCAAGTATGTCGAACAATGGAGATCGAATCAATAGAAACCTCATTTTCAATATTTTAGATTGTTCATTACCCCAGCAACACGATTCAAAACGAAAAGAGGTAATATTTAGGATGCTATTATTAGTCTCATGTTATAGTTATGATGTTATGACAAATTTCCGTTATGTGGGATTTCAAATGGAGAAAATGCAATAAATAAAGTCTGCATTATTCTCATGTCTCTTAAACTCAAGACTAGTTTTATGTTGACTATATTCGCCATCTATCATTTACGTTGACTTTAACAGTATTGTGTAACTATGTGGCGAAGTTGCTAAGCGGTTTTTATTTTCATTTCTGTAAAAAAGCATTGCTTTTTTAAGATTTGCATTAGCCTACCCCATAGATTTCTGTATTGCAAATATAGAATACTCTATATGGAGCAGCCTGTCCCTGAAACAGTCTATGCCTGCGCTCACAGCAAACAATTTTAAAATTCCAGTATTATTTTACATTATCGCTTCCCTTGGCGATGGCCTTTGCTTCCCTAGTTTCTCTAGTCTTTTGGTATTTTGCACGAAGTTAATGCGAAAAGGTCTGGTTATGGTGCTCTTTTCCGAGAGTTGAATGTCATGGTCACACGGCTTCAAATGATGCATTTTGATATTCTTCATTACATTAACTGTAGTTGAAAGTGTCTTTTCTTCTTGGTGTTATGTCTGAATCTTGTTAAGGTTTTAACAGTAACGCATTCTTGTAGTTTTCTATCACACCGTCTTTCGATCATGTTGAGGGGAGCATATGTCAATCTATGTAATCTCGAGGAGCCGCGCAATAGTTGCGTAGGTTGTTCAATTTCGAAAGCTGTAAAACACATGAATGACAAAACAGCTTTAGCTCGTAATGGCCTCCGTCATTTAAATGGCGGTGGTGAATCCTGTTACGCAGTGAACTCATTAACATTAATTGTGAAGTACCTAATGCTTACCAAATTGAAGGTGCTAAATTGGTTATTTGCCATTAGTCTTTTTCCCTTTTATGTTGCATAATTAAATTAAGTAAATAACATGCCACCCTTAATTGGTTGGCGACATATACAACATTTCGGAGAGATCTTCTATTTTTATTGATAATCAACTTCCTCTAAATTTGCTTATTTTCTTATTGCCTTTTGGCCTCTTTGTCACAGAAATTTGGCATTAATAGTTATGCATTACTTCTAGACCGGGGGTTAGCTCTTATTCCTTAATTATAAGTTATAGTAATGTATTTGGTTTGCGTTGTCATCATATTCAGAGCAATTGCCTCACTAGCATTTACTTTAAATATTATTATTCATTCAACTCTGTGTGTAATACGTTATATTGGAATAGTCTATTGTATCATACTTGTCTCGTGTAGGGATGCCATCTGTACATTTCCTCAGGTCTTTTGGCGTGTAATGGTACTGCAATAGCTGGCGAACATTACGAGCTGAGGTAGCCTGAAACGCTCAAAGACCTTGCACCAATGTTTATTTTAAGTCAGTCGCTAGGTGCCCAAGACCGGCCGCTGTTTCGTTAGATAATAGACAACCTTTTGGCGTAGACGGTCAGATGGCGTAGACGGCCAAAACCAGTTTTCCCACTTTTTTTCTTTTTTACACAAGGTGATGGGCATTTTGATGGACATTTAGTTTTTACTATTTCCTATGTCACGTAGCTACTTAGAAACGAAAAACGGATTTTCTATGGTCGCTTAACTGTCAAATATCTTTCGTGTGCTGCAAACGAATTGGGCTCCAATCCCTCACTAAAGGTCAATTTAAGAAATTTTCGAAATTACTCGATGAGGAGCATGTAGTGGAAATTATGTTCACAAAAGAAGGAACGAAAGTTCCCAATCATCTGCTTATCAGGACACGGAAAAGGCTGGTGTTTTATTTTGGAAACTGGATAAATGAGGACCAATTCACACCTCGTCAGCAATGATATCATTATACACTTGTGGTGCTGTAGTGCTTTGAGATGTTTCAGGTCTACCTCCAGCGCAAGTGCTGTGTAATTTTAGCGCTCAATCGTTCAGGCAGATGTGATCAATTGTCAGATGGCATCGCTCCACACTGTTATCACTGTTTTCTTCACATTAGAATAGATATCCTGGTGTTGGGAGTGTGCTGCTTATATCAAACGCCCATTATGTCTTTTTTTGTCGTTAACTTTATATGCGTTTTAGACTTTATGAAGAAAAGATGATAATAATCTGGAACATTGCCCGTAACCATCATTAGCCACCCTTGTTTTTGATTGGATATAAAGAAAGTTGCCCAAAATTTATTAAGGGAATCCAAATGTGTGCGTCTCATTCGCGTGCATTGCTGTTACTTTTTTATCGAAAACTGAATGTGAAACTGAATAATGAAGTCGTAGAAAACTTGTTTCATTCAAGGAGGTGAAGCCAGGCTAGATTTGGCTTTGTTCTTATTCCAGTCTGAACTTTATGGTAGGTACTGCAGGATGGGTCATCATCGATGATCCAAGTCCCTCAGTGGCGATACCGTTCAGTTTGAGCGCGACTGAAACCGTGTTGGCGCTCACTATTTTCTTTTGACGAAGTTTGACTGCTGACGACGGTATTTGCCAGGATAATGTTGCAGTGTTCATTAATAAGCAGCCTAAGCATTATAATGGACTGTCAGGATCTCCATGTGTCATGTAATGGACTGTCAGGATATTTTCCATCGTTGTCAGGAAAATGTCAGCGAAATTGTCGCAAAATAAAAATATCACCACTGCCTTGGTACATGCTAGCTCCTGCCTGTTTTGTTATACCTAATATCTATATGTTTTCTATAACTAAAGACATTCTTCAATGTTCCGCTCAGAAAATCATGGAATTCGTATTGTAAACGACTAACGGCAGTAGATCGTTGAGCCGATGGAGCTCACGGGCGTTTGTTGATGGACCAGCACACTCCCAGTCACCAGCCGCCTTCTGTCACGACACCTCCGGTGACCGGTGACCCGTCCGCAGAGCCGCTGTCAGCGGCCGGGGTGTCCGAGCAGCCGGCGCCGCCCGCTCCGGTCAACCCCGACCCGGCTCCCATCGGGCACGGGGGCTGGCGGGCCGCCGGCTCTGCCACTCGCTGTCTGATGCGCCACATGATATGACTAGGAGGTGAGACCTCGCAAAAATATACACAGCGCAAATATCTACCTCGTGTATCCTGCCTGAGCTTGTTTGGCTCTGTAAAGGTCAAGTGAATAACATTGGAATGAAAGATTCTAAGGAAGAGCTACGTCGATCTTCAAGAATTGGTGGCGAATTGAGGCGCTCCTGCGCATATCAAGTGGGGCATCGATATAGTGATCAACAGGCCGGCGCTACGCTCCCCTCCTCTTTCCTTGTCCGTCATCTGACTCGTATGACTATCCTGTTCCTGTGCTCTCCATCCTTGTGTGATACGATTAGCCTCTGGCTTCTCGTCACTGAAGAGCGAGGCCCGTTTCAGAAATTGACACCAATGCGAAGCCGGCTTCTCGGGACGCGATGGAGACCGAATGTGATCCGGAGATGCCGGTGAAGCCAGTTGCCCAGGCGTCGATAGCGACGTCTGCCGTGTCCGACCTGGAGCTCCGCTGTCGGCTACTGCGCGCACTGCACGGCGCCGAGCCTTACCACTGGGCGGGCAGTGCCGAGTGAACACTAGCATCGTGAGTTTGCGTGCAGTCTGCGAGTCTGGAACGCTTTCCTCAAAGCTGATAGCTTTTTGCCATCAATGGCCTCCATTTGTCTATTGTCTCCACTTCCTTCGAAAAACCAGCATTGGTGGGGCGATAAAGCTTTAATTGGCTTTATTGCCACTCCTCGCTGTTGAAGACATAGGTGTTCACCTTTCTAGTGAAGAGCAGTGGTTTTTATCCGCACGTGGTGGGTGCATTTTCTCCCCCAATCCTATACCCAGTAGCCTGGCCTGTCGATTGAAAGCATGTGGGGCGATATCTCTTGGAGAACGATGCACGACTTTGGCAGTACATGACTCCGATGAGTGGATCCATTTTTTTCAGCTAGACGGGTTGTAACTTGCCTTGTTGTCCCTTGCAACTTGTCTAATGTCTATCATTAATGGCGCGTCAGACAGTGAAGCGGAATTATTACCACCTAATACTAACACGCCCGTCACCGGTCGCCGGGAAGTGTTCGTGTCTCCTAACTTACACTTTCTAGTCTGTGCACACCTACTCTAGCATGTAGACAGCGCTGACTCAGTGCCGGTTCACAGAATCTCCTGCTCCCGCCGAGACGCCGCGCTTCGTTCCTGCGCCGGCGATCGGCTCCACCTCGGCCGACGAGATGCGTTCAGCGGTGGCCGCCTCGGCATACTACGACCGGCTGTATGTCGACTCCCACGTGGACATGCTGATGGATGACCACGGCTGCTAAGAACCGAGGGTTATGAGAGAACCACGCGCCGCATTGAGCGGTGCTGCTGCAGACGGGGCACCAAGGCCTGGTTGTGGGACGAGTAAGGCTTGTGGTGGCTCGCACCCCTGACCGGACGTGAGAGACTCTCTTCGCCGTTCTGATGTGAAGCACCAAGTGCCCAGACAGCTTCACTGCCTTTACCGGTGATACATTTCATCTGTCTGCGTCATTGTTTCTAAACAAATGTGGGCGTGTGTTCTGTGTAGGTACTTTGCTTGAGGGATCAGTTGCTTGTGCCAAGAGCTGGGAGCACCAGCAATGCTTGAAAAAGATCATTACCTTCATGTTGTTGTTTCTCTATACCACTGTGTCATAACTCTTGTTCTGTGCGTATGCTTGGATGTGCATAATAAGGAGTCTCACAATCGGTACTATCTCTGTTGCGGATTTTCCATTTGCATCATCTCTTCTGATCTCGTTCGTCCTCACCCCGCTGGCTTGATGAGTGGAATCGTTTCAACAAGGTATCGACTACTACTTTGTTTTGGGCGCGAAGAGGAGCGTCTTGACTTAATGCTAAGTTTTAACTTTAGAGTGGGGATAGGCATATAAGCTTCACTGGGTTCTTCAGAACACAAGCATTTCGTGTTATGCTTTTGTAGCGCTTGTAGTGATGCTAGTTACACTGTACTTGTGTTATGTTCGTAGGGTCTTTGTGTCCTAACCGAGTTGGCTGTACATTTTAGCTGTAAGTTCGCTACCATGCGTTCACGTTCAGTTTCAGAAGAGTTGTGATAGTTCGGTCAAAGAAGTAAACGCGACTGTTTCTGAGAAACATCTCTTCCACCTGACCTTTGTGTGCTGTTGGCCGGTCATGGATGTTCAGCCGGGAACATCGTTGTAATTGTGGACTTTTATAGATCCATTGAAATACATATGAAAACACCAGCCTTGGTAGCGAGTGTTTGTAGGAGGCGAGGTCCTCTGGATCTGAAAATCTCTTTTCCGATACAAGGCATTTAGTGCGTAGCAAATTGACAACCGGCGTCGATTCTTACCGTCGAAGTTGGAGTTAGACCCGATCCGTACGTCATTTATACGTTCTCAGTTTCCTTTTGCAGCTCAGAATCTAACCTCGCCTCACCACTCACCGGCCCGGCGCTCACCAGCGACGGTCCTGACCTCTACTGTACCAAATACCGTACCTCCGCCGCAGAGGCATACCCGGCTTCTCTGCCAGCGGCACGCCTGCCATCTGTACTGGGCTGAGTGAACACTGCTCAGTTCTAGCATCTACACTGATGTGATGTTGATTCATTGTGCATCAGCACCATCGCTCAAACTCATGATATATGAATATCATCGTCTCCTGTCGCAAATTTAGGCTTGTGCTCTATCAGGCCTACAGCCTTTGTGCTGACTGCTGAGGCAGTACGCTCGCGCTAGCATGCTAAATACAACTATTCACAACACAACTGCTTGGGTGAGAAGTGGAACGGTAAGACCTTTTAGTGGTGGAGGAGGATTGTAACATGTTATGTGGTATGCCTACACTCAAACAGGAAAGCTGTGTGTGCCTGCAAGTTTCATAGGGCCTGTAGGAAATTCAGACCTAGGGTCACGGCCTCTTTGATATTGTCAGAGAGCCGACGTCAGGTCAGCTCTCTGAAGATAACGTGAACGTCATGAGGTCGGATAAGACCGGCAGTTCTGGTCATGTGTTCAGTGTGCCGGCGGCTCAGACGTGTGGTTGGCCTACTCGCGCATGGCTCTTTGATCTTCTCCGATGGCGATACCTACTGCTGAGAGCTTTGAATCGATCTGACATTGATGGCCTTAGCTGAACTGCGATATTTTCGCCCCTTGGCCCTTTCAATCTGTGTGGGGACTGCAGATGTTGTCACTAGCACAGCATCGTAGTCTTTATGGCATCCTGATGAATGCCTGTTTCCTTTCTATCACCACGATCATCGAGGTGAATAGAAACGAGGACTTCCTGTCAGGGATGCGGAGCCGGAGCCGGAGTCGGAGCCGGAGCCGCCGGAGCCGGCATATTTTGCCCGGAGCCGGAGCCGGAGCCGGAGCCGTGAAACAATATAGCCCGGAGCCGGAGCCGGAGCCGGAGCCGCCAAAAAAGGGGGCGACTCCGGCTCCTTTTTATTTTTTGAAGAGGAAAAAATAATTGACCTAGTTCGGTTTGACAGTACAAGGCAGTAAAACATATGGTACCTACTTACGTCATGGGCCATCAAGTGAATGAAAAAAGCCGAATATCCCCAGTATCCCACAGTACGCAATCAACTTCCTGTCTGCTCCTCCCCCCCCCCCCCCCACGTCTACTGCATCCCCAGAACATGAGGACCAGTCATCAGGTGACGGCCATTGTTTTGAAGCCAGTGCAGTGGACTGCGACTCCCAGCACCGTCTCTTCCCACCCCCACTCCCACCCCCCAATGCAGCCGAGACGGGTGTCAGCTTACGATGGTTCAGTGAACTCCGATTCGCGGCGACTGCGTTTCCAATGCCATCGCTTCCTAGTCCTTTGTTCCTAGTCCTGTTGAGAAAAATAGCCTTAGTTGTTAGTTGTTATGCAAATACAGAAGCAACGTGTACCAATCCAATTTTTCTTCCACCCGTATTTAATTGATTGCATAGGGGATGTACTGAGTTGGAGCCGGAGCCGCCGGAGCCGGAGCCGCCGGAGCCGCCGGAGCCGGAGCCGCCGGAGCCGGACCATTTTACTCGGAGCCGGAGCCGGAGCCGGAGCCGCCATAACATTTCACCCGGAGCCGGAGCCGGAGCCGGAGCCGATTTTTTGCTCCGGAGCCGGAGCCGGAGCCGGAGCCGTCTGAAATTTCCACGGCTCCGCATCCCTGCTTCCTGTACATACCTGCTTGTATGTGCACATATCTGGACCCTTTTGGACTACTTTGACATGTGCTGCCGTTCCTTTCCTACCTGTATGAAGTTGTTTCCCGGCACACAGCGCACACAGTTCAGCCTATGTTGATTGGGTCGGTCACATTGTCTCCGTTTCCCTGCACACGGTTGTGTCAGCTCGTGGGGTCCAGCACGCCTGTGTCCTTGCCCCTCTGGGTGGTCCTCTCAGCCAGATACAGCTATTATCATCCATCTGCAATATCCCCTGATCATGATAGCGTTATGACGATTTGGAACCTCATCATTGTAAGCCGAGGTGCGGTGCTGACAAGGCTGTGTAATTTGCGGCCAAGAAGCACGCCCCAGCACCTATCAATGTTCACCTGTTCATGGTGAATGGTGATCGCCGTACTGATAGTGACATGTAGGCGGGCGCGATGGGCCGGCGGATTGCAGACTGCTGAGACGTGGGAACCGGGCCGAAGGGTGCCGCTGGATCCTGCCGCCGTGGTGTGAACGACTGCCGCCAAGGTCGCGCGCCCGGCTACCAAAAACGCCGCCGACTCGCGCCTCTTCGCCATTTATGACGCTGCTCGGCGGCTGTCAATGGGACGACGGAGCCGGCAGAGGACCGAGTGGGGTGGGCCCTCCGTCGGACACTGACCGTCCGTCCAAGGTCCACCAGAGACCTGGCCACGGCCGATTGCTATGCGTGCAGCGGCGCCGGGCCGCGGGAGCCGCCGCCCTCGGCTGCGCCTGACGTCCGTACCAACCGAGCTACGCACACTGCACTGCGGCGAAGGGCGCGGCGCCTTTGACTTATTGTTACAGCATGGAATGAGAGGAATGACTGGCGACCATTCCCACTCAAGGATACGGCTGTGACAGCACTTGAGTAAGTAGTGAATTTTGACCACGCTGTGCAGACTTACAAAACGCACGTATGAATCGGATTTATTCATAAAGTACCTATTTGAGCGCTATCAGTGAACATAATGACATCCATGACATTACCATAATGCTACCTTTTCAGACGCAGCAGTCTATTCAAGACGTATTTTTGATTTCATTATATGGCGTCGGGTGCCGTCTTCACTGCTAATAATAAGTCATTTTTCGGTCCCTTCAGTAGTCCCTGCTTCATTAGCTGTCTGAACTTTGCCCACCCGCTGCTTTAAAGCTCTGTCTTAGCTCAGGCGGTCAGGTCAGACCAATGTTTGCTGAGCTGTCTCAGCCTGGCCCGCCTATTACATATCCAATGTCCATAGAGCTGTCTGAGCTCAGGTCTCCACGGTGTATAAGAGCTGTCTCAGCCCGACCTCGTCGTTGTTCGCAGAGCTGCGCCAGCCACTCAGCGCTAAGAAGGGCCTTGTCAAGATCCCTCCATTCGCCTGCAACATTGGAAACATTGGACTCTGCTTTGTCACTGACCACCAGCAGCGGCAGTAGTGACAAACACCCTCCCGACGAAACTCTAAATCGGTGGGAACCCGGCCCACAACAAACTCCATAGGTGTCTCTTTGGAGCTCCTCTCCTCCCGGCTGTCGGCAGTTTTGACCTTGTCCCTTGGCTAATGCATATGCTGAGGATCAAATGCCTATCTTTGGGATGTTTTATGAATGAGATGCACGGTTTGGTAGACCGAATTAAGACATAGTAGCCGATGCAATGATGCTATGACTGCAGCTCTTTAACCCTCGCCCGTAAACGGCGATCTGCCACCTTCGCCCATGCAGGGGGGGGGGGGGTTGGTGCGACCCCCCCCTTGGCGTTTGAAAACGGAGCGTCGTAGAGCTTAGCGGAAAAGACCAACGGATTGCTCTCGCCGAGATCTCGCGATTGGTGGTATATTTTTTGGTCCTAGGTCAACATTTGACCTACTTTTGACCGGTCAAAGGTCAAATTTTCGGAAAAATAGACTTTTTTCAACTTTCGGCGGCGATTGCGGCAAAACGGTGGGAGATATCGACTTGAAACCTTCACTATCGTGTTCCTTGATCAATTCGCTATCGTTTGGTATGTATTTCGTTTCCCTAGCTCTAAAAATGGCGCGTTGGGAGCGCCGGAAGTCGGCAAGGTCACAGTCGGAGGCAGAAATTCGAAAAATCAAAATTTAAATTTTTGAAATCTGATTGTATTTTTGGATTTGGGAGGTCCATTTGCTCCCTATAGAAGCTAATATTGCTGCATATTCCCATTGAGGTGACAAGAATTAGCAAAATAGTGGTTCGGGCGCTTTTCAAAAATAGTACCGGACGCTGTTCCTCTTGTGACGTCATAGCTCCGTGACCTGACCTGACCCGGTCAAGTTTCTTATACCATATGATAGCCAATACTTGCCCCAACATGCATGGGAAGTTTCATCACGATCCATCAACCGATCTCCGTACCACCGGCAGGAAACCTCGGGCGTTGGCACTCAGTTTGTGAAAATCCGGCCGGAGGCTGTTCCCTTTGTGACGTCATAACTCCGTGACCTGACATGACCCGGTCAAATTTTTTTTTATCAAAAGATGCGCAAGGTTTGCCCCATAAGGTACCCAAAATTTGGCGGCGCTGCGCGCCGCCGTTTTTGCACTATTTCCGAAAAACCTCAGGGGGGGGGTTGCACCAACCCCCCCCCCCTACATGGGCGAGGGTTAAAAGAACGGAGAAATCCTGCTATGGAGAGACGTTTCGGCTCGAAGAATGTCGAATTGAAACCCTGCGGCCACGGCCGGTCAGCCTCTAACCATCCCTAAATCAACGGTGCTTCGTGAGCCGCCGAACCACGAGTGCTCTGGAATCCTTCTTGGAGTTGGCATCCCAATGTTTTTTTGTTGCTTTGATATAGGATGAGTTTGTTGAAGATGTCGTTCATGACGCCCCCCCCCCCCCCCTGTTGGTTGACTGCTGGCCCTCACGAGCAACGCTGTCAACATGCATGATTATCCTTAGGTATTGCCTCTTCGTCATGGGATTGCTGCATTTTGTATTGCATTATGAAATAAACATCTTATACCGAAGCTAAGCCACAGGTCGAAAGTCGAATCTGTTCTCAGTGTGCAGTTTGACTTTTACTAACATCATGTCC